GATGCGCCCCGCTGACAGGCTTCAGGGCCGGATTCCCCACCCCTACCTCCTTGGAACGCCGGGTCCAGGCCTACACCTTCAGGCGTGCGGTTTGGAATCCCTCTTTGTTCCGCCGCCGCCTCCTTACCCCGCTACACCTGTGTGCTTTTGAGCTGGTCCTGGCGGGCGGGCACGCCCACTTCAAAGGGTGTGGTCAGGAACCTACTGGAAAGTCCCCGGACTTTTAGTTCGTCTTGACTCTAAGCAATGCTCAGGGGATTATTCAGGCTCAAAGCTTGCATTTCTGCATTAGAATGATCCCAGCGCAAGGAGACAATTTATAAATGCTCGCTTCTCAAGAGCAAGAAGAAAAGCACATGTCTTCCCTTGACTAACTGACCAAAAATCTTTTTCTGCCTCCTGTTAAACCTCAAAAAAGACAATGCCGTCCTCTTCTCACAAAGCTGAAAACCTGACCATTTCACCATAGTGAATGATTTGAGAACTTCGTAAGCGTCACTGCAAACAATTTCCTTGGAAGGCTGAGGGAGGAGTCTCTACCCAACTGACTCGTATGTCCCCAGTGCCTGGCTGTCCCACAGCTTGGCAGTGTGAAGTATTTGTGGCAAGGATTAACTAATGGCCTCACCTGCCCTTACCTTGTACACCCAGAAATTGCCCTTGCACTTTGCCAGCTGTAGAGCACAGCACAAACAAGAGCTGTCACCTTTTGTCTGGCTCCTTGGGAGAAGCTGAACAGGAGAGATTGGGGCCGCGGGGGGGGGGGGGGGGGGGGGAGTCAAGCTAAAGATCCCGATTTGGAAGACCAGATGGTCTTGAGGCACTTGTGGAGAATTGTCAGATGCTGTGTGCCTGTGTGTGTGTGTTGCACCCTATGGAAGGAGAAGGGGAGAGTTTGGAAGCAAAGTCAGAAAATGGAAAGGGGCAGAGTGATGAGTCTTGGAAGATGCTGAAATGATTTGAATTGCAAAACTTTGTTTTCCAGTGAGTTTATTTTTATTTTCCTCTGGAGTAAAAGAGACACTGTTATTTTAAAAGCAAACAGTTTTTATTGCACAGTTGTGTTTTTTTAATTAAAGTCCCAAAAGCAAAATTGTATAATTAAAAGTGGTTGGATAGAGAGGGCTTAGTGCTGCTATGACAGTCTGTACCACAGTCCTCTGTGCCGTCTGCCAGCTTTAAGGGAGCTATTTTTGGAGATACCATTTGCTATTACCTCTGGCTCTGATACTGCAGTTCCATGGCTACCAAACAGATATGGAAAACCAGAATCTCCCATACTACCCGTTACTGATGATCTACAACATCAACTTTGTCTGTATCATGCAGTGCTCAACATTCTGTGTGCACTTTCCTCAGGGATTGCCATGACAATAGTCATGTTTGCTCTGCCAAAAGATGATTCAGTTCTTTCAAAGCAGCTAGCAACATTGTCATGGTGCACATGCTATATCCTTAGCTGCATAAATGATGGTCCAAGTGCACATGATTGCAAAAAAAGATTCACATGACCATTCTTTTTTTAAAAATTTTTTTAATTTAATCATTTTTAAAATTTATTTTCAGCATAACAGTATTCATTGTTTTTGTACCACACCCGGTGCTCCATGCAGTCCGTGCCCTCTCTAATACCCACCACCTGGTTCCCCCAACCTCCCACCCCCCCACCTCTTCAAACCCTTCAGATTGTTTTTCAGAGTCCATAGTCTCTCATTGTTCACCTCCCCTTCCAATTTCCCCCACCTGCCTTCTCGTAACTCCCCATGTCCTCTATGCTATTTGTTATGCTCCACAAAGAAGTGAAACCATATGATAATTGACTCTCTCTGCTTGACTTATTTCACTCAGCATAATCTCTTCCAGTCCCGTCCATGTTGCTACAAAAGTTGGGTATTCATCCTTTCTGATGGAGGCATAATACTCCATGGTCACATGACCATTCTTAATGCAATTGACACATTTCCTCAAGAATTTGATCCCACACTGATTATTACATGCAGAGCCATTGACAAGATTCCCCAAGTTCTGTGAAGCACATGGTAGATCTAAAGTCAAGGATCTTGTTTTCTTATGCTGAAGCAATCTGCCACCCAGAAGCACTCTTTGTTGCACCAGCGACATTCCCAAAGAGCTTGCCTCTGTACCCATCATAAACAATTTCTGCAGTGAAGAACTACCATGCTGGCAAACCCATACTGAAGGTCTGCCTGACAGCAAGCTTCCTGAAGCATGTAGGAGAAAGTGCCAGAAGTCCAGAGGAATAGTCTTCATTCTGGGACAGCTCCATATCCTTGAGTTGTTTGGAATTGCAGAGGAGATCCTAGAACAGAGGAATAAGAAGTCCAGCAAAAGGAGAAGAGCTGAGCCTGACTTATCTCGTGGAAGACCATTAATCAGAAAAAACAAAATGTTGGGGCGCCTGGCTGACTCAGTGGGTTGAGCCTCTGCCTTCGGCTCAGGTCATGATCTCAGGGTCCTGGGATCGAGCCCCACATCAGGCTCTTTGCTCAGCGGGGAGTCTGCTTCCCCCTCTCTCTCTCCGCCTGCCTCTCTGCCTACTTGTGATCTCTGTAAAATAAATAAAATCTTTTAAAAAATATTTAAAACACAAACAAACCCCCCTCCAAAAACAAAAATGTTGGGGCAACTGGGTGGCTCAATCAGTTAAGCAGCTGCTTTTGGCTGAGATCATGATCCCAGGGTCCTGAGATGGAGCCCCACATCAGGCTCTCTGCTCAGCGGCGAGTCGGCTTCTCCCTCTCTGTGATCTGTCTGGCTTAAAAAAAAAAGAAAAAGAAAAAGAAAAAAATGTTGGATAGATATGTGTACTTAATTTTCTGCTTTCTGCATAGAAATAAAATGTAAACTGATCATGAGTGTCTGCTTTGTGAAGAGTCCGGCACTGTGCTTAGTGTTTTATCTATTCTTTCTTACAGAATTCCCCCAACAATCCTAATCCATCCATGTTGTTGTCCCTGTATTAGACATGAAGAAAAAAAGCTCAGAGGGGTGAAGTGACTCCTCTCTGGTAGACTTGTGATTTGAAACTCAGATGCCCTGCCTTTAAAGGAAAAGAAGATTTATCCGACTTCTCTGTGATGTGTGAGCAAGATACTACAACAGCACCACTTAGGAAGCGGGGGCTTGAATGGCAGTTAGTCCTCTGGATATCTGGGGCTTGATGTTTAGGGTTGATATTAATTATTTTAGTGACCATTTCTATCAATACGTAGGAGAGTTCAGAGGCCTTAATCTGTTTTCAGAATGGTACAGTGAAAAGATATGGGAGTCTGCAATCAACTGGTAAAGGTCCATCATTTAATTGACTGTGTGACCTTGAACTTGTTTTCTCATCTGTAAAATGAAAAGCATCTTCCTGATTTCCTTTCCACAGGGTTTGTGAGGGTCCAGTGCTTTATTGCTTGTAAAATCTCCGACCTGAGTAAAAGACTGTTAGTAAAGATTTCTTCCCAGCTGCTGCTAGAACCTATCTGTTGAACATTTTTTTTTTTTAATGACAGGCATGTATTGCACAAAGCAGATTGAAAAAATTCCCTTAAACAAAAACAAAATGTCCATAATTCCACTACCTTAACAAACCAGACATTGGCATCTTTCATATATCCTTGTCCTCAAGCAGACATAATTTTCATATAGTTGCAATTCAAGAAAATTTTGTATTTTGTTTTCCCCTTCAGTTTATTATGTATGTTGCCATAGTGTTCATAATAACTATTTAAATGACAGCATGATATTGCAGTAGGTGGCTATACCATTGTTTAGCCATCCCCAACTGTGGAGATATAGTTGTTTGGGTTTTTTTTTTTTTAAGATTTTTTTTTATTTATTTATTTGACAGATCACAAGTAGGCAGAGAGGCAGGCAGAGAGAGAGGAGGAAGCAGGCTCCCCACTGAGCAGACAGCCCGATGCGGGGCTCGATCCCAGAACCCTGGGATCATGACCTGAGCTGAAGGCAGAGGCTTTAACCCACTGAGCCACCCAGGCGCCCCAGAAAGGGAAGCAGGCTCCCCGCTGAGCTGAGAGCCTGACGTGGGGCTCGATCCCAGGACCCTGAGATCATGACCTGAGCTGAAGGCAGAGGCTTTAACCCACTGAGCCACCCAGGCACCTTGTTTTGGGTTTTTAAATAGATAATGTTACAAAGAGCACCTTTGTGCTTAAAGTGTCTCCCCCCACCCCTTTTTCACCGACTTTCTCAATGAAATGATTAGGTCAAAAAGTTTGAATTGATTAACAGTTCTTGCAGGCAATTTACAAATTAAAAAAAAATTTTATATCTACGATTCTACAGTTTGAAACTTTTTTTTTTTTTTTTTTTTTTACGATTTTATTTGACAGCGATAGAGCACAGCAGTCAGAACGGCAGGCAGAGGGAGAGGGAGAAGTCAACTCCCTGCTGAGCAGGGAGCCCGATGTAGGGCTCCATTCCAGGACTCCGGGATCATGGCCTGACTGGAAGGGAGACGTTTAACCGACTGAGCCACCCAGGTACCTCAATTTGCAAATTTCCTTAAGGAAATTTGGACTTGCCAGTTTACAGGGTGACCAGCTATTTAGGGGCCTATCAATTTCCCGAGACTCTCCATCACTGGGTATTATTGTTAAAAAATAATACCGTTTTGTTTGATTAGTGGAAGGTGGGGAATCATGTTGTGTTGTTGAAAGCCGTTTTCAAAATGAGTTATATTTAATGTGGCTTAATTGGCTACGCCGAACTAATTACTGACACAGACCACAACCTTAGTTTGGAGCCCCTAACGCAGCGAGCATTTCGTGGTCAAGCGCCCCCTAACGACCAAACACGCCCGCGATGGGGTATGTAGTGGGTAGGGTGCCTCGGCGCGTGCGCATTCCATTTTCCCCGTTGGGGTTTCTGCGATTTTTTCAGGGGCGTGGGAGCAGAGCAAAAACCAAGGGGAGGATTTAACATCGCGCAGGCGCATCACAATGCCCGTAGATTCGTGGGTGCTAGGAATGGGTGTGGACTTCGCGGCGCAGGCGCATTGGCAGTCTGGAGGGCCGGGGCGCCTGCGCAGTGGTTCGTCGTCAGGCGGCAGCCATGGCGGGTCAAGAGGATCCGGTGCAGCGGGAGATTCACCAGGACTGGGCGAACCGAGAATACATTGAGGTCATCACCAGCAGCATCAAGAAAATCGCGGACTTTCTCAACTCGTTCGGTCAGCTGGCGAGCAGTGGGCGTGAGGGTGGGTGGGAGGCCACTCAGTTTGGCGAAGGTGCTGAAAAGCTTTGAAGGGGCTTTCTCCGGGAGCCCTTGGACCCAACTGGTTTTCGCGTCGCCCGGAGCCCGCCTTCCCCCTCTTTCCCTGACCCTCAGGCTCCACTGGGCAGTCCCTGTTTGGTTCTCCTGTGCCATTGTCATCGGCTTCGTTGCCATCACCCCAGATCCATTAACAGGTCCTTCCTTTTTCCAGACTCTTCGGGCACCTCTATCCGCGTCTTTTCTGCTCTGCGGTAGCCTCCCTGCTTCCTTTGTGACCCGCCTCCATTCCAGTTTCCACTTTGCACTCAGAGTGCGCCTTTCATGCAGCCACAGCTGTGTCACTGCCCTTGTGTAAGTTTCTTGACGGTTCTCTTCATTTTCAGAATCTTTTAGGGCCTTACCTTTTAGTCGCCCATTTCTGTCTCCCGTTTTTGCTGCCATGAGAGTGGTAGGAGAGGAGGTCAGAGGTAAGGTCCAGATTATGTAAGGCCATGGAGACCCCTGTGTTGCTGGTATCTAGCCGACAGCAGGTGTTATTTCTGCTGCTAGCAAAGTCTTTCCTAGGCATGGCCTGCTTGTGATAGTCTTCAGTTCTTTCTGCTTTGTTCCGTATCCTTCTGGAAAGCAAGCCTGTAACAAAGACTCCCATCCCAATTTCTCCAAGTGTTTCTTTAACAACTGGGCACGGGTAGACTTACTTAAGTAATCACAAGGTGTAAGGATGACATCTAGTAATCTTTTTCAACTAGTATGGTTCTGTTCCACTAATTCAGCAACAAGCAATTAAGATTAAGTAGGGGAAACTGATGTATTAAAAAAAGATTTAAAATGAATTAATTATTTTCCAGCCAAAGGACTGATGCATCCCAAGAAGTAAGGTAACAGAACATGAATTTTCTTAGAAAGCATCAGCAAGAGAGACCAGATCTCAGTACAGGGCTCTCTCAGGCACTCTGGAGAACACAAAATAAGATTCATTTCCTGCTTTCAAAGAATTTCTATCTTGAAGAAGAAATAATGACAGTTTCAGAATATGAATTTGTATTAATCTATTTTCTTATAAAGTGTATAAGACTGTAATCTTACTACAATGGATTTTCTCACCAGGGAATGAGGGTGAGGGTAGTATTAATGAGAGAATAGTATAAATATCTATGTCATTGATACGTATTCACACACATAATTTGTTTTAGAGGTTGTAATAGGGAATGGTAGTCAACAAACATAGATCTCATAGTATCCTGAAATAGTTTAAGGACTATGAGTGAAGGAGTATGGTTTAGTGAAAAAGATAGATGGATTTAGAGACAGGAGTCTGAAGTTGAGACTAGATTAATTTATTTCAGTGAACTGAAAACATTAAGAAATAATGAACCTATTTACCCTGCTATTCAGATAGTCTAGGTTTCATCAGAGGGTTTTTCTTTTCCTAACTTCTGTGCAAACTCTTTTGATGTTAGTTCTCAGAATGTTTCTCCTACTTTCCTGGACAGCTGAACTGTTCCTGAAGGTTGTTCTCAGCATTCTTTGCTTGTAACATTCCTTCAGAGGAAGGGCCAGAGAAGAGAAACCAAAATATTGCATACTAGGGGAAGGATGTCATGATGAGAAGATCACAGCTTTGAGATTTGGCTTAGTCAGGAGAGGTAGTGGAAAGTAGTTGGAAAAATCACCAACATGGAGAGTTTTAACATTAAAAAGCAGAATTAAAAGACTTCATTTTCTGGTAGGATCTGAAATACACAGACTATCCAAGTACAGTATTAAGAACATCAGTTAAATCAGTAAGCCATCTAAAATAACAAGTCAGGGGGCACCTGGGTGGGTCATTTGATTAAGCTTGTGACTTTTGGTTTTGGCTCCACCTCCAGTAGAGAACTCAGTGTTGTGAGATGGAGCCCTGATTTGGGCTCCCGCTCAGTGTGGAATCCACTTGAGATTCTTGTATCCTCTGCCAGTCCCATTCCTGCCTGCTCTCTCTCTCTCTCTCTCAAATAAACGAATAAATCTTTCAAAAATAATATAACAAGTTAAGCCGGGGCTGTTTTTTCAAAATTTAAAAGTGATCTAGTGGGGGCCCTGGGTGGCTCAGTCATTAAGTGTCCTCCTTCAGCTCAGGTTTTGATCCCAGGGTCCTGGGATTGAGCCCCACATCAGGCTCCTTGCTTGTCCAGAAGCCTGCTTCTCCCTCTCCGACTCCCTCTGCTTGTATGTTCTCTCTCTTGCTGTGTCTCTCTCTTTCAAATAAATAAATAAAATCTTAAAAAAAAAAAAAAAAAGTGATCTAGCATCTCCGCCCCCCACATTTGGATCTAGGTAATGTAATAACTTCATATCTGAGCTCTGAATTGTATTAATAAACTTTTTAAAAAAAGATTTATTTGAGAGAGAGAGAGCGAGTGCCTGTGTGAGAGCAAGCAAGATTGAGAAGGGGTGGAGCAGAGAGAGAGGGAGAGAGCCTTAAGTAGACTCTGCTGAGCCCAGAGCCTGACATGGGGCTCTGTCTGAGGACCCTGAGATCATGACCTGACCCTAAATCAGGATTTGCACAACCCAGGTGCCCCAAAATTAATAAACTTTTTTTTTTTTTTTTTAAAGATTTTATTTATTTATTTGTCAGAGAGAGAGAGGGAGAGAGAGCGAGCACAGGCAGACAGAATGGCAGGTAGAGGCAGAGGGAGAAGCAGGCTCCCTGACGAGCAAGGAGCCCGATGTGGGACTCGATCCCAGGACACCGGGATCATGACCTGAGCCGAAGGCAGCTGCTTAACCAACTGAGCCACCCAGGCGTCCCTAAACTTTTAATTCACATACATTTATCTTTGACATAAATCTTGGCATATTATAGTCACTAGATTTATGGCAGTTGAGTCTTGGAACTGACCAAAAATTGAAGAGTTTGAACTTAGGATTTGCAGAGGAGAAGTGTCTCTTTTCTTGCTTTGTAAGCAAGGAAATACCAGTACTGAAATTTTATCAAATGTGTAAGTCACATTTTATGAACAAATAGAGAATAAAGATTTTTCTTTTGGGAGATTTCCAACAGGCGCTAGACTGAGAAAATAGGCACACAGAATTCCAATCTTAAGAAGCCAGAAGAGGGGCGCCTGGGTGGCTCAGTGGGTTAAAGCCTCTGCCTTCGACTTGGGTCATGATCCCAGAGTCCTGGGATCGAGCCCCGCATCAGGCTCCCTGCTGAGCAGAGAGCCTGCTTCCCCCTCTCTCTCTGCCTGCCTCTCTGCCTACTTGTGATCTCTATCAAATAAATAAAATCTTAAAAAAAAAAAAAAAAAGCCAGAAGAAAGGGCTTTCCTTAGCTTAGGCCATCGTTCTCCCTTAATGTGATGCTAATAGCCTAATGTTTGGAGTAATTACTAGATGGTTTCTGAAGAAGTTAATTTAGTCCTTTTAAAGAAAAGTACAGTAATTGCAAATAAGAATGGAATTATGAAGCAAACTTAAAAGCTTAGCAGTTCTTGAAGATTGACAGTATCGCTGCTGTGAGTTTAGACAAAGACCAACAGGCTGAGAAACTAGATCAATCATAAAACATTTGAGACATTGTCTTGGCATTGGATGACTCAGGATGAGCATGTGCGGGATACATTTTCCCCCTCTAAGCCCTTAGTGTGACTTCTCAATTCTGATGTGTATGTGTAACGGCTTATATTGAGTTTATGATAATATGATTTGGTGGCACAGAGATTTAATAAGAATTTACTTTGAGAAGGTAGCCAGGGCTCAATCACTCGCTCTCCCTTTTTTTTTTTTTTTTAAGATTTTATTTATTTATTTATTTATTTATTTATTTATTTATTTATTTATTTAAGAGAGGGAGAGAGAAACACGAGCAGGGGGACAGGCAGAGGGAGAAGCAGGCTCCCTGCTGAATAAGGAGCCTGAAGCGGGGCTCTATCCTGGAACCCCAAGATCATGACCTGACCGAAGGCAGATGCTTAACATCTAAGCCACCCAGGTGCCCCTGGGAGCTCTTTGAAAATGGCAGCAATCCTAGAGTCCTTACCCTGACCACAGGCCATGTGCTTTGGAGAGGGAACTGGCTTTCCAAGATAGTTAGTGACTTTCTGAAGAGCTTTTACCCTCTGATTCGTTCCAGCTGGTGAGAGTGATGATATTCCTGGGCCACCTGAACCTGAGGCCCCACAAATCATAAGGCAGTGATAACATCCTAACACTCGCCTGTTCTGTACCTTGAACTGGTGAAGTTTCTAAAAATAGATTGTCACAGATGGTAGCTTTTAATTTTTATACCATTTTATCTGATTCTAAAGCTAATATGTGCAGAGAAGTGTAACAAAAATAATGTGGTGGTTATTTTTAAATGTCAGTTTTTATACTTAGCCAACAGGTATAGCATGTCTGTTGTGATCCCAGCTATGTGTCACATCCTCTGAGAAAGGAATAAATAAGAATAAATGGACGTGGTAGCCACTCCTGAGAAATTTAGAGTTCTGTAGAGAAGTAAGCCTTAATGGCAACGATTCAAAAGAATGAGTGTTGTTTTTATAGGCTAAGGTTATGTGCATTAAGAGTTCAGAGGAGCTGATAACTGGCATTTGTCAGCAGTGATAATGGGTACACACCATCAAGCACCCTGACAAGGATGGTTAGTATCTTAGAGTCTGGTGATGGGGCGCCTGGGTGGCTCAGTTGGTTAAGCATCTGCCTTCGGCTCTGGTCATGACCCCAGGATTCTGGGATGGAGCCCTGCATTAGGCTCCCTGTTCAGTGGGAAGCCTGCTTCTCCCTCTCCCTGGCCCCTGCTCATGCTTGCATGCACTCTCTCTTTCTCTCAAATAAATAAATAAATAAAATATTTAAAAAGAAGTCTGGTGATAATATACTCTTTTTTTTTTTTTTTAAAGATTTTATTTATTTATTTGACAGAGATTACAAGTAGGTAAGAGAGACAGGCAGGGAGAGAGAGGAGGAAGCAGGCTCTCCACGGAGCAGAGAGCCCGATGTGGGGCTCGATCCTAGGACCCCAGGATCATGACCCGAGCCGAAAGCAGAGGCTTTAACCCACTGAGCACCCAGGTGCCCCTGGTGATAATATACTCTTAAATGCACTCTGATTTCAGATTTATTCAGCTGCTGAATGCTTATCCAGTGTTTTGCTTGATTCATTGTTTTTCTTGGGATCTGAAATATGCTCAAAAGTTTCTGGAATTCAACATTTTATATTCTCAACAGTGCTTATCCATTTAGGCCAGTGGTGTACTGTTGTTCTTGGATTCTGATTCATTACCAGATTGACAGAGATAGAACAGAACAGCCATCCAGGAAGGAACCCTTTCTCTCACCACCCCACCCCTGCAGATAATTTTGGCATGTCTCTTATTATGGGAAATGACAGGTTGTTAGTGATAACATTCATGCTCTTACTGAATAGTGTATGTGATGTGCCTTTGAGCTTCTAAAAACCAGATGGAAAGAGACATGGTCTTGTTGGGTAGTCCTGGTGGTGGAAGTGTATCTAGGAAAAGGAGGGGGCTGAGTACCTTCTACTCAAGCTAGATCTAGGAATTAGAAGCAGCAGCACTAGCAGATAAACAACATGATTTAAAAGAAAAATGAGGGGCGCCTGGGTGGCTCAGTGGGTTAAATCCTCTGCCTTCAGCTCAGGTCATGATCCCAGGGTCCTGGGATCGAGCCCCACATCCGGCTCTCCGCTTGGTGGGGAGTCTGCTTCCCCCTCTCTCTCTCTGCCTGCCTCTCTGCCTACTTGTGATCTCTCTCTCTGTCAAATAAATAATAAAAAAAATAAAAATAAAAATAAAAAAATAAAAGAAAAATGAGGGGTGCCTGGGTGGCTCCGTGGGTTAAGCCTCTGCCTTCGGCTCAGGTCATGGTCTGAGGGTCCTGGGAATCAAGCCCCACATCAAGTTTTCTGATCAGCAGGGAGCCTGCTTCCCTCTCTCTCTCTGCCTTTCTGCCTACTTGTGATCTCTCTCTCTGTCAAATAAATAAATAAATCTTAAAATACAAGTCAGATCGGTTCAGTTCTTTGCCTTAGATTTAAGAAAATAAATAAATAAAAGAAAAATAGGGGCGCCTGGGTGGTTCAGTGCGTTAAGCCTCTGCCTTCAGCTCAGGTCATGATCTCAGGGTCCTGGGACGGAGCCCCACATTGGGCTGTCTGCTCAGCGGGGAGCCTGCTTCTAGAACCCTCTCTCTCTGCCTGCTTCTCCGCCTACTTGAGATCTCTCTCTCTCTCTCTGTCAAATAAATAAATAAAATCTTTTTTAAAAAGGCCGGTGGGGGGTGCCTGGGCTGGTCAGTCGTTAAGTGTCTGCCTTCAGCTCAGGTCATGATCCCAGGGTCCTGGGATTGAGCCCCGCATCTGGCTCCCTGCTCGGTGGGAAACCTGCTTCTCCCTCTCCCACTCCCCCTGCTTGTGTTCCCTCTCTCCCTATGTCTCTCTGTCAAATAAATAAACAAAATCTTAAAAAAAAAAAAAAAAAAAAAGAAGAAGAAAAAATGAAGAATGTCCAGAATAAGGTAGATCCATAGAGAAGGTTAATGGTTGCCAGGGGTTGGGACACGCCTGAATGGGAAATGACTGCTAATTGGTACAAGGTTTCATTTGGGGTTTTGGGGATGTTCTAAAATTAGATTATGGTGATGGTTGCACAACTATATTCTAAAAACCATAGAATTGTATACTTCAATTAAGTGAACTTCATGGCATATAAATTATATCAGTAAAGCGATTTTTAAAAAATACTGAAGAGTAGCATTGAAGATGGGTAGGAAAGAATCTAGAATGACAAAAGGAAAAAAAGGAACCAGAAAGTGGAAGAGTTGAGCTATAAGCAGATTTTAAGAGATATGGGGAATAAATTATAACCCCAGAGGTTCGTAAAGATGGTAGGTAGCAGGGTTGTGTGGTGGGACGTTGTGGTGGAAGAGTACTGTCCTGGGCAGTAAGGGAACTGGGCTCCGGGCTCAGCTGTGCTATTGTTTTGTCCAATCAGTTATCCAAGATGAGCCTTGGTTTCCCCACTTGAAGAAATATTGGAGTCACACCAGAGCCAGTCTTTTGTTTCATTAACATACCGAGTTCATAATTTTTTTCTCAAAAAGCTCTCTTTGTCAGGCGAGATACTTGTTATAAAAATTAATAAGAGGCAGTATTTGATTAATTGATTTTTAGCCCAGTGAAGTGGGCTTTGATTAATTCATTCTAGTGAGATAACAAATGTAAAAAAATGATAAATTACAAGTATATAAATATTTGTCTAGATAGCAGGAACATTTCCTATGTTAAATATTCAAACTCATAATTTGTTTTTTTTGATGAGTTGTTAAAAAGATACTTTATTTTTTGTTTGTTTTTTAGTGACTTGTTAAAAAGATACAAACTTGTAATTTTATTTTATTTTTTTTTTTAAGGGACGCCTGGGTGGCTCAGTTGGTTAAGCAGCTGCCTTCATCTCAGGTCATGATCCTAGCGTCCTGGGATCGAGTCCCACATCGGGCTCCTTGCTCGGCGGGGAGCCTGCTTCTCCCTCTGCCTCTGCCTGCCATTCTGTCTGCCTGTGCTCGCTCGCTCTCTCTCCCTCTCTGACAAATAAATAAAATCTAAAAAAAAAAAAAAAAAAAAAAAGTTTATTTTTTTTTTAAGATTTTATTTATTTATTTGACAGACAGAGATCACAAGTAGGCAGAGAGGCAGGCAGAGAAAGAGAGAGGATGAAGCAGGCTCCCTGCTGAGCAGAGAGCCCAACTCGATCCCAAGACCCTGGGATCACGACCTAAGCTGAAGGCAGAGGCCTTAACCCACTGAGGCACCCAGGCGCCCCACAAACTTGTAATTTTAAATGGCCATTTTAATAGTCTTTTGTAAGTGCACCATACTTCATGACACCATTCCTAAGTAATAGTGGTGAATGTTCTTGTTTGTTAAATCTGTATCCAAAAACCTAAGACCAAGCACATAAGTAATTTATAAACCAGAAATTCAACCTTAAACATACAGCAGAAGGAGAATTATATGCCTCTGGCAGAGACCTCTCAGAGGTCCAATTTGAATGGAGCCTTGAAGGAGAATGGTTAGACAGGCAAGATAAGCAAGATGCAGGTGTGGAGAAGTGAAAGTTGAGGCAAGAGCCTGGTGTAGGAGGATTTGTCAGAATGGATGTGGACATCCTTTTGCATAACGGTAGAGATGAAAAGGAAGATGTGAGCTAAGTGTTAAATCATTGTGAGTGGGAGTGTGTCTTGGAGAGAGGATATTTTAGACACAAAAAGTGAAGGTTACTGAGGATGACCAAACAATGGTGTTGGAGGAAGTAATAGGAAATCATGAGTGTGCCCAGAAACCTTTTTCTCCTGTTGAGAATGGTTAGGGAAAGCGTAGGCAAGTGGTTCTCTTAGAGAAGTTTCCAAAAGAAAAGGTATTTTGGGGAAATCTAGGTTTCATTTTGGGTGAGATGGTGAAAGAAGAGTGGAAAAGGGAAAGGAAGAAAAGAAATTTTGCTGTTTTCCACAGATGGAATGTGGGCTCCACAGGGTATTTGATGTTCTCCCAAGTTTTCTCTCATGCTGACATGCCTGCGCAGATACTGATGACACATTAAGTGCCTTCCTGCAGCAAAAACAATGATGAGGTTTCCATGAGCTCAGAAACACGGATGCCTTCCCTCCTCTCCATAGTGTCTGCTGCTTTCATGGCCTCTATTTTTGTTCCTTGAGATTATTTTCTTCCTGTTGTCACTTCCTCTCTCTTTAAACTCTTGGTTTGTCTGTTACTAAATATCCGCCTGTAGAGTTTCAGTGTGTTAGTTTTCTATTGCTGCCATAACAAATTACCATAAATGTAGCCGCTTTTGTCCCATAGTTTCTTATATTATAGTTGTGTAGTTTGGAAGTCCAGTATCACTTCACTGGGCTAAAGTGAAGGTGTTGGCAGGGCTGCCTCCCTTTCTGGAGACTCTAGGAGAGGATGTTTCCTTGCTCTTTGGATTGGTGGTAGAATTCAGTTTCTTGTGGCTGTAGGACTGAAATCTGTTTCCTTGTTGGCTGTCAGCTAAGGTCCGTTTCCAGCTTCTCAGTGTCTCTGGTGTCCTTTGGCTCATGGCCTCCTTCCTCCATCTTCAAAGCCAGCAATAGCAGGTTGAGTCCGCCTCACACACTTTGAATCTCTTCTTCTTCCTACACCTTTCCTTGGTCTTTCTCTTCCTGTATTTATGGATTTGTTATTAGAGCGTGTCGATCTGGATAATTCAGGATCTCAAGGTCCTTAACCTTAATCACATCTGCAAAGTCCCTTTTGTCATGTAGGGTAAATACCTACAGGATCAGGGATTAGGGTATGGACATCTTTGGCCATCATTACTCTCTGCCTGCCACCCTGGTAGGAAGTTGAGCAGATTCATTCTAAGCAGCTGTGCTCCTAATACTCACTTCTTTTCCATTTTCTTGCTTTGCTCACCTGCTTCCGTTTGTGCTCTCCCTGATGTATCAGCTAGGGGCTGTGTGTGTGTGCGTGTCTGTGTCTGTATTTGGAATGACATTAATCCTGAACATCAGTCTCCTTTTACCAGATATGTCTTGTCGTTCAAGACTTGCAACACTAAACGAGAAATTGACAGCCCTCGAACGGAGAATAGAGTACATTGAAGCGCGGGTGAGTATGTTAGAGAAGGTACTTGCTCATGAGGCTAGGCAAGGGCTGTGCAGAGAGAATGCACATTTCCCCTTGTTGCTGGAACAAACCTGGAAGCAGTAACAGGCTTAGAAGTTAATGAACTTCCCTGGATTTGAACCAGGTTTCTTGGGCTCCAAAGCTGTTGTCTTTTCTACCACTCCCTACTATCTATGATCTATTTTTTTTTTTAAGATTTTATTTATTTATTTGACAGAGATCACAAGTAGGCAGAGAGGCAGGCAGAGAGAGAGGAGGAAGCAGGCTTCCTGTTGAGCAGAGAGCCCGATGCAGGGCTCCATCCCAGGACCCTGGGCCTTAACCCACTGAGCCCCCCAGGCGCACCTATCTAGGATCTTTAAAAAGATTTTTTGGGGTGCCTGGGTGGCTCAGTGGGTTAAAGCCTCTGTCTTCAGCTCAGGTCATGATCTCAGGGTCCTGGGATCGAGCCCCGCAACAGGCTCTCTGCTCAACCTCCTCTCTCTCTGCCTGCCTCTCTGCCTACTTGTGATCTCTCTCTATGTCAAATAAATAAATAAATAAAATCTTTTAAAAAATAAATAAATAATAAAAATAAAAAGTTTTTTTTAATACTTCTGAATTTATCTAATTGACAGTTTCCTTTGACAGGTGACAAAAGGTGAGACCCTCACCTAGAGCTACGCCATACTGCTGCTGGGAAGTTGCTTCATGGAACACAGGCCGATGTGGGAAAGGCCCCAGCAGCCTCAGCTCCTTCCTCTCTCCTTAAAGAGCTACAGGGCTTATTCCTGTTTTTGGTTTTTATTATTTTTTTTTCAAAAGCGTGGCCTTTGGGTTCTGCCATGTACGTTGGTGTGTGATGTGGGATGTGGGAAGACATCCAGGGAAGCTCTTGGAATCAACATTAGGCATTTTATCTTTGAAGTAACATTTTGTAGAACTATCCATCAGTGTATGAGGCGCTCAGAGCCAGACGCCTGGGACTCTTTGTTAAGGTCCTCCCCACCTCTCTTTCTCTAAGACTTTCCTTACAGCTCTCATTGCCTCTGCATTGATTCTAGAAACAGTCTTTGTCTCCTTTTTACCTTTGGTGGGGGTTGGGAGGCAGTCCTGGCCGAGACACTTATGCCCTGGCAAGGTGGCCGCCAGAGAATGTTGTTGCTAACCCACCAGTTTCTTGTCCTTTTGGGGAGGTAAAGGCCAGGCCCCCACTTGGCTTGAAGGGACATTTTCAGAATTTTCTTTCTGTCACTTGGGGTATCTTTGCCTCTCATATTTCTCTAATAAACTCCTCAACTTTATCTGACTGCTGTGATTGTGATGGGGAGAAGAGCTAGAAATTGGACATGTGTGATTATTATTCTAATATAAAACTTTCAGATGTATCTCTTTGATCAAAGCCTAGGTGGCTTACCAGCTGGAGGGATCCCCCACCCCCATGTTTGGACTTCGAGCTAATTCATCCTGGGAATCATTTGGTTATTCAGCAGACATTTATCTAGTACTTACTATGTAGGTGCATTATGCTCCAATAAAAGATAAGCATTGAATCAGGCATGATGTTTACAGCCTGTTGAAATCAGCATCCACACAGTTTAACTGCAACCCAGGGCAGACTGAGTTTTATCCAGTAAAAGCTAACGGTCTTTCTTTTGAAAAGCCAAGAGTTTAAATGGAAGTCTAAAACTTTGCATTCTAGCATCGAAAGCTTGCTATAAACTTATGCCACCCTACTGTTAAAGGCTTCCTTTTTTTTTTTTAAGATTTTATTTATTTATTTGACAGACAGAGATCACAAGTAGGCAGAGATGCAAGCAGAGAGAGAGGAGGAACCAGGCTCCCCGCTGAGCAGAGAGCCCGATGCGGGGCTCGATCCTAGGACCCTGAGATGATGACCTGAGCCGAAGGCAGAGGCTTTAACCCACTGAGCCACCCAGGCCCCCCTAAAGGCTTATTTCTTACATAGAATCTCTGTTTTAGTCATGTAGAAGTCGTCACACTCCATGCAAACAAATTTCCCCCTATTCAAATCGTATTTGCTATTTCAAGGCTAGCCCAAGTCAGGCCTCTTCCAGAAAGATCCCCTGGACTAGACTTTTTCATCCAGTACTACCCTTTTCCTTTTCTCAGTCCCTCCCATCCCGCCATGCTGACCCTACACTTCCGCTCTGGACTGGATCGTGTTACGAGCCGTTCTCTGATGTAGTACCTGGTACCACATGGTATAGTACAGTATATAGTATATATACATGAGCACCTTTTCCTGCACTGCCCAGCTGGGTGTCTTACAGAAGGCAGGTGATCAGTAAACACCAATTCAACTGACCTTACAGCCCAAGCTCCTTCCCACTGTCAGATCTTTTGAAAACCTTTGCTTAGACCTTTGGAAGACCATTTTAAGTAGAACCTTCATTTAAAAATGGATTTTACGGTGGAGACAAACCTGATGTCCTTTCCTTTGGGAAGTGATGTTTTTGAACATTATCGAGCTTGTCAGTGGTAGAGTGCTTCTAACAGTCTCTTGAGTTCATTACTCATATACTCAAACACTTGAGTTCATCATTCATAACAGCTCAGTCCTTTCCAGGATAAAGTAAGTACTTCTAAAGTTCAAGTTTTAGATCTTCTGGTCCTTTGCAGTCAATTTAGCACATTTATTGAGCTCCTGCTACATGCAAGGACTATACCATGAGATTGTGATGGGGGCAAAAGTGATGGTAACTAATATAAGCAGGAAAAAGCCTGCCTTTAATGAAGTCACGTGGAAATGTTCAGTAAATTCCTTGTGGTTGCATAGATGTCAGTTAATTTACTGATACCAAAATAACATTTCCAAAAAAAAGTCTCCTAACCAATACTGTGTTGCTAATGGTAGCCTGATGGTTGTAAAGAAAACTACTGGTAACATTGGATGTAAGCCACAAGTGAACTCAGCCGCCTGCTGGTAGTAACCCCTTCATTACACCTGGCACTTTAAAGTGTCAGAATGCTTTTTCTATGTTATCACACCCTTTACAGAATGAGGCCCTGGTTTGCACAAGGATATGAAGCTGGTGTTGTCTATACTTCATTGAGTGTTACCATGTGGTAGATGTCCTAGTTGCTTTATTTTATTTCATTAAATCCTCAGACACTAGGGAGCAGGCATTCTTATCTCCCTGTAATAGGTGAGGAACTAGTGTAGGCTAAAACTTGTCCAAAGTCCTAAGAAGTAAGTGAAGGTAAGGAATTTGAACTTAGACCTACACGACTCAGGTGGTTCTAACCGTTCTTTTATTCTGAAAGTGGTAGAGCAAGATCTAAAATTTATTTCATTCCTGGTCCAATGCCTTTTCACTGTTCTCACCTGAGACACTTTAAGCAATTACACAGCTCTGTTAGTCTTACACGTTTCCACCCTTCCTTTTGTGAAGAAGGCTTCATAGGTGGTTCTTGCTGTGTCTGGCAAACGCTGTTTGCATTCATGTGTATGTTGTCTAGTTTCACTTCTAACAGCTTCCTTTGTCTGAAGGTTTAATTTTATGCTGTATTTTCTGAAAGCCTTGCCTAAGGAATTTAATTCACACTAGTACTTCCTCTAGCTATCTTTGAGTTGAGCCAAAGAAAGCAGCTACATCCCCTTTTTGAAAGGCTGGCCAGGCTCCAGAAACTGGAATTTTACTCTTAAGTCATTCACATCTTTGCTCACAGGTCATTGCGGTCCATAGTGTTAGGCTAAACAACCATTTATTTTGTCCCAGGTGTCAGTTCTTCAACTTATGGAGTAATAGTTCTGAAATACAGTTTGTCCTTATTGAGGATGATAAAGTTATATTTTACATTTTATTTTTTAATACAATTTTTTTTTAAAGATTTCATTTATTTGTTTGAGAGAACATGAGCAGGGAGAACAGCAGAGGGAGAAACCGACTCCCTCCTGAGCAGGGAGCCCAATGTGGAACTTGATCTCAGGGTTCTGGGATTATGACCTGAACCAAAGGGAGACACTTAACCAACTGAGTCACCCAGGTGCTCTTATTCATTTATTTTTTTTTTAAAGATTTTATTTATTTATTTGACAGAGATCACAAGTAGGCAGAGAAGCAGGCAGAGAGAGAGGAGGAAGCAGGCTCCCCGCCGAGCAGAGATCCTGATGCGGGGCTCGATCCCAGGACTCTGGGATCATGACCTGAGCTGAAAGCAGAGGCTTTAACCCACTGAGCCACCCAGGTGTCCCGCTTATTCATTTATTTTTAAGCAATCTCTACATCCAACGTGGGGCTTGAACTCATGACCCTAAGATCAAGGGGGGCTTGCTCTTCCAACTGAGATAGTCAGATGCCCTTGATGGAAGTCAATTTTTTTGTTTTATGTTAGACTTTAGTCTTTATTTTTTAAATTTTTTTATTTTAAAGATTTTATTTATTTGCCAGACAGATCACAAGTAGGCAGAGGGGCAGGCAGAGAGAGAGAAGAGGAAGCAGGCTCCCCGCTGAGCAGAGAGCTTGATGCAGGGCTCCATCCCCAGGCCCTGGGATCATGACCTGAGCTGAAAGCAGAGGCTGTTTTGTTGTTGTTGTTGTTGTTTTAAGATTTTATTTATTTATTTGACAGAGATCACAAGTAGGCAGAGAGGCAGGCAGAGAGAGAGGGGGAAGCAGGCTCCCTCCTGAGCAGAGAGCCCAATACGGGGCTCAAACCCAGGACCCTGGGATCATGACCTGAGCCGAAAGCAGAGGCTTTAACCCACTGCGCCACCCAGGCGCCCCTGGAAGTGAATTCTTAAAAGCCAAGGATGCCTGTTGAAAAGAGAAAAATCATCAGACCTACTGTACGAAAAGCACTAAGGTGAAAACATGGGAAATGAGAGGTTTGTTTCTGGGAGATTAAAACTATAAGTATAAACATGCATTCATTCCATAAATACCTATTAAGGGATTACCGTGTGTTAGATATTGTGCTGAGCATTGAGAATATTGCAGAGAAGTCATGATCTCGCCTTGACAGCACTTGAATGAGGGTCATATGATAATCACACACACAAAAAAATTACACATGGTGCTGTGGAAGGCTGGAGATGTGATCAAGGAAGATGGTCTGCAATTCTAACTAGGCCTTTCAGTCTTGTGGAGTAAATTCTAAAGGCAGAAGCAGTGCAGAAATAGCAGGGTTCAGAGGGTTTCTCTTTAGTCAAAGATGAACTTCAGGAAGAAAGAAAAATAATCTATCAAATCTATTAAGTGCCAGGCACTGCACTAAGTATTCCTCATGCATTAAAGCTATGTCATTATCTTAATTTTGAAATTAAAGAAACTGAAGCATAGTGAAAAGGGTGGTCAGAGGGGAGTGCTGGATTAGAGAGGTTCATCATTTACTGCCTTGGCAAAAAATCTGAGTCAGACGTCTACAAAGGAACGCCAGAACCTGGGTGATTTTGCCATGGGCTGTCCTTGGAAGTACGTTATACAAAGAGGTGGTGATCCTGATATGGCCTCCAGCAGGATAGGGACCAGCAGGGATACGGACCTCCTGCTGTATTGAACATCAAAAACATGGAAACATTTGAGGAAAACCCCAAGGAAAGACAGGACTTCCTGTTAAATTATAATGCCTCAGAAACACCATAATTTATAGGACACATGCAGACATACATATGTGCTTCCAGTTTAGTGTTAGAAAAATGCCTACATCTGTAAAGTGAGAGCAGCTGTTTAAATGCAGGCCTTAAGATGGGTATTGCATCATTGCAGATAGTATTCACCAAGATCATTTAAGAGGAAGGAAAACATTTAGGATATACCAAGTAAAAGGAAATTGTATTCTTATGTTCTTATGTTACACTTGTATTGTTCTTATGTTCTTATGTTACACTTTCCACTATGCAAAAACAAACATGGAGAGAAGAAAATGCACCCGAGTATTTTAATACAACTGGTGATTTCTTTCCCCTTATACTTTCATGTTTTTTCTAAATTTTCCTTTAGGTGGATCTATTTTGCCTTGTTTATATTTTGGCCAATTAAAAATACAAAGAAGTATAATAAAGCAAACATTTATAATTTTTTTAAAGGTTTTATTTATCTGACAGAAATCACAAGTAGGCAGAGAGAGAGAGGGAAGCAGGCTCCCCGCTGAGCAGAGAGCCTGATGTGGGGCTCGATCCCAAGACCCTGGAATCGAGACCTGAGCTGGAGGCATAGGCCTTAACCCAGGCACCCCAAACATTGATAATTTTATCATATGAATATAGTAGTATGCTGTCATATTTACTTTTTTTTAAGGTTTTTTTTTTTTAAGATTTTATTTATTTATTTGACAGAGAGATCACAAATAGGCAGAGAGGCAGGCAGAGAGAGAGAGGGGGAAGCAGGCTCCCTGCTGAGCAGAGAACCCAATGCGGGGCTCATCCCAGGACCCTGGGATCATGACCTGAGCCAAAGGCAGAGGCTTTAACCCACTGAGCCACCCAGGCACCCCTACTTTCTTTTCTTTTTTTTAAAAATACATGATGAGTCTAAAATCCCTTTAACTTCCACTCTGGTCCCATTTCTCTCCTTCATCCCCAGGGGCAATGAC